TGATTCTAATCTGCTGCTGAGTTTATTCACACTGCTGAACCGTGCATCGAGAACACCTGATTTCATTTTGATCTGCTGACAAACTAAAGCATCGTCTGTATTAAACCGTGGAACAGTAACTGTTCATGGTTAAATGTATCCAGTTCTCATGCTACTGGCACAGTGTTGCATTTCACTGTTATACTTTTTGTGTCCACTCTATGTTCCTGAGTGGAGGAGGTGACACTCATAGGGATCATTTTGTGTGGAAGAGTCATATATCCCAGGAAACACTGCCACATGTGAGCACGCACAGAGCCTGAAGCACAAAGCCCAACTTAGAAGAGATCACTGATAATCGCTGTTATCACTTACACAGAGATTTTAAGTTTCGTCAGTCGCTAAAGGCAAACGAAAGCTGTGCTGTTATAATTTATTCCCTGTGAAATAAAATCTTTCTTGGATTTTATTTTCCATTTATATGTGTACACTGTTCCACTTGTGGAGAATCATATCAAACATGGCCAAAGTATCAAATAATGAATTGACAGTATGAAAAAATAAGCCCTGTGAGAACAGCCCTGGGTTAACTTGTTCTCTGACCTCAGTAAAGACGTGAAATGAGTTACATAGTTCATAATTAAGCTAATGAGTAGACGTGTTCTTGGTTTCTCACTAAACTATACCTCTGATCCTGACATCTGGATTCGAAAGGTTATGATTAAACATTGTCCTGGGAGTCCACCGCAGCCTCGCTTCCACCAGTATCTACTCGACTCTACTCAGTTTGGTTTGTTTGTACCTCCTGTGCGCATGGGGTTGTTGTAGCAATGCGGCCAAAAGTCTCGTAACATCATTTGTATGCGACACATTTCCTTCGTTGCCAGGTTTCAAAAATGGCATTTTAATTTTTGTTAAGGAGTCAGTTTCATGACTCGTCGAGTGACGCCATTGGCTGGCCACTGGTGACACCACATTTTTGGATCCATTTTTAACGCGGGCTGAGCAAACGGGTTCTACCACCTTATAGGAAAAGTCTACAAACCGAGTCAAGCCGAGCTAAGTAGGTACCAGTGGATAAGGGCTATATGTATACCAGGGTCCCCACAATGATAGACGTACAAACCGGAGTGTATGCCCTGTTTAACATTCGCAGCAGATCCTCCTGCAGACGGCATGAAGACATGAAGCCTGTCAACAGGAAAATAACCACAACAACACAAGAACCCAAACCCTGCTGCTTCTTTGTTTATTGGCACCCACCACTGTTGGCCACACAAAGCACACACAGACCATCAGACTGACCCACCTCGACTCTAACAGAGCGAAACTCAGATGGCGAGTAAACATCCCCCGACATCTTTCACTTCCTTTAGTCTGTCCTGAAGAGTAAACACACAGACACACACACAGAGTCAATAAACAGATCACAAAAGACACGATGCAAGACAGCGAAGAGGAAGTCAAGCGGTCAGGCAGTGTCTGTTTCACCCGAGGAAATAGAAATGATCTCAAGCCGTCGCCTTGATGGAAATGCTGAAATCTTTGTTTTCCATCACGTTGGGAAAAAATAAACTGTTGGAGCTTATTTAGAGAGGATTTCTGAACGTAACCGACTCCATCCTTCTGTTTCTTCTGCAGCTGATAAAGAAAAACAGGGCAAGAAAGACGACGGCAGCCCTTTCAAAGGAAACGTCCTGGGTAAGGAAGCTCAACACGCCTCATGTTCCTTTTTTGCCAGGTTTGCTGCACTCTGCAAGTTAACGGAAAATGTTGGATTATTTCCACCTGATTTTTTCCCTATTATTTTGCCCCTGTGAGTCATACGAACACTGCTCTCTCCAGCTGTGTTGTAGAGGTTCAGACACAAAATAGCACAACACCCTCAAAGCTCCATGCAGCTTTCCAAACACTTGATTTTGTATTTATAGTCAATAAAAATGAAAAAGAAAAATAATGTACTGTAAACTGCTCTGACTGTGTGTGACTTCCAGCGTGGATCACAAAGCTAAAAATGATTTAGAGGAGAGGATAGTGTAGCAAGTTATCAGCTAACACTGCAAGATACGTCTGTAAACTGCACCTGATAATTAGCACTGATTCACATAAAAATGTAGCGTTTAATTTGACTCCTCAAAAGTGGAGCAGACTCCTTCCAACACCACAAACATGCATGAGAGGTCCAGTTCAGCTAGCAGAGCGCTAACAGCTACAGCCAGCTGTTAGAAAAGCCTTAAAAGATGAACTCTTTATGGACATTTTAACATGAGAGTCTGTGGGGATGGAGCCTCCAGTGGCCAAGAATGACCCCATTAGGAAGAGGTTGTGCAGTGTGTCAGCACAGCTTTTACCTGTACGTCAGTGTCTTTGTTCCCTATGGTCAAACCTGAGCATCATTAGCATCATGCATATATGAGAACACCGAGACACTGAGGGCAGTCAAACTGAATCTTGAAAAGATAGTTTCAGGAATCAGATTACTGTTGGCAGCGACAGAGTTTCCTGTCAGTGCAGATTTGCATTCATACCACAGGTATGTTGACCTAACGATGGCATTAAATGAACAATTACAGGACGCCGTCCATCCAGACACGAGCTTCTACTTGTTATTCAGTCTGTGTCACTATGTGATGGATATGCACAGAGCTGAGCCGCTAGCATGGCTAGCAGTCTGCGCATTAACAACCTCTGGGACTCTGTTTGTATTTGCTCATATTATATAACCACACTGTAAATCCACTTTTCCTGCCTCTAATGCGGTAAAACTTCCTGCGGCCTTTCGGCAGCCTGTTAACCTGCGTCTGAACCTGCTGAGGAGCAACAGCAGCAGGATAAAACCTAATGAAAATCTCCTTAATACACAATAAGGTCCTCAGAGGGGGGCAGGAAACAAAGTGCAGGAAATCAAAATGCACAGCTCTGAAAGAAAGAAAGTACACAGTTTTTTAAGCCTGATCCCGGTGCGACTGTGTGATTTCTCATAAGTCAACATGCAGATTAGAGGAGCAGAATGAGGCATTTCAGAGCCTTAACCATCAGCTGCACGACGCAAGTGTTGAGTCTGGAGATCAAAGAGGAGATGAAACAAAATCTAAAGCGTTTTATTATCTGCAGAGCTCGCCGTGCATTTACATGAAACGTCTCAGGGGGAGCGATTCCTCCGCAGCTCCTTCGCTCCGAGTTTTAACTCGGACAAAAGAAGCGCGGGATTAAACTGCGGCATTGTCTACATCGCAAACAGGGAAGGACACAGCAACACATTTCTGCCTCCGATAAAGAGCTGAGAAAGGCTGAGCTTCTCCTTCTGTGCGGCGTTCAGGTGACCTTCACCACATCGGCGCCTGTCCTTCAAATAAGTAAATCATTCAGTGACGAATGAATCAAACCGCGGCGTGTCCCTACTTGCCCTTCACTACAAGCTTTCATCACTCACGGCTCCCAAAGACAGTGAAAGGTTAAAAAGGCTCAACTCAAAAAGGGAGTGAAGAAGTTCACTCACAAAAAAACCTTTTAAAACAACGTTTTACCACAGGCGGCTTAAAAGATCGATTTTTCTGACTCTGAGAGGGAATAAAATTTATAAGATGGGCTTGATGTTTTTTCCAAAATGAGCCAAAGCAGAGAAGTTCATTATCTCATCGGGAAAGTGTTCACTAGGATCAGAGCAGAGGATCCTTTTCCAACAGGAACAGAAGGGTTTGCTGCCACACAGAGCGCCCCCTGCTTGCCACTAAAAAGAATGCACATTTGTTCTACTTTATGTGATTTTACTTCAGTCTGGATGTAAAACGCGGATTTAAGTCACGCGTCCTTTCTCATAGCCAGCAGGCGGCGCTGCTCTCACTGTCAGTCAGGTTGTCCTATAATCTCGTTCAAACATTTCATCCAGCAGCACTCAGACAGTCTTAAGCTCGCGAATCTCTGAGATGTCATCGCGGCCGTCATAAACATGGCGAACAGCAGAATTTAAAATCGGTGACACGCACACACAGGCGGCTTCTTGTTAACAGCTTCCTTCATGTTAATGTGGATTTGGTATATAACGTTTCAGTCACTTTAATGAGCAGCACAGTTTGCTTTGTCAGCTTTTCCTCTAAGACTGCAGTGAATCATAGCACGGAGAGACAGATCTGTGTGACTTATTAGGATTTATGCCCTCGCACAGCGCTGCAGCGCACAGCAGATGACTCCGTTTGTGGCACAGCACTTCATTTATTATTATTATTAGGAGCATAAAATGTAGATCTGCTTTTACCAAATTTAGCTTTAACATTAAAAAACAACAGTATATTGTTATTATATTAATAATGTTCGTTAATTGAATGTAAGATGAGCGACGTCACAGTCAAACTCAATGAAACGTGTCTGTGTGTTCAAATTACCAAATATATCTTTACAAAATTATGATATAAGATCAAATAAAGTAAGATGTGCTTTATTTATCCCAAAGATGGGAAATCACTGTTACAGCCCAGTCTCAGGTCTTTAAATCATCATGTAGTGAATCTATTGTCTCCTCTTTATTTCACACAAATGGACTTATTTCCTATTGAAACACTTTATCACAAATTTGTCCTCGCTGGCATGAAATATGTTTTATGTCAGACACACAAATCTGGGGTTGAGACCGTGGGGAGGCTCAAACGAAGCTTTAAAATAAACGTGGCTTTTTCAAACCCCAAACAATTACCGTTTAACACTTGAGCCAAACCAGGTGACAGGCTGCTGGTTATGAGCCTCTTTATGTTGTGTTTAAATGATGTGTGAAAATCTGATCGTGGGTCTCTACCACCATCCCTCCGAGCTCCTACTACAAACTGCTTTTACCTTTTAAAATGGAAAATCATTCACACTTGTAGACCTGTAAGATTAAACGCCGTGTTCAAGGTCGCTGTCCAGAAACACACATCAGCAGATTACAGGTTGTGACTGTTTCACAAACTGCTGTGAGATCAGATTAGGCCAAATATGAAAAACAGCCTAGTTCAATCAAATAAACATCACAAAACAAACTATGGAAGATTTGTTCCGTTAAATATAGAAAAAAGTGAAGAAACTAACGAAAATGAAAAGCTTACAAAGGAAAATCTAACAAATCATTATCAGCATTGTGGTAAAGATTTGTGTTTGATACAGAAACTATGAATCAATATGTAATAAAATGTAAATCAATAATAAAAATCCCTTTATTGTTCTCACCTTGTGTCTCTGATTTCTCGTTTCGTCCTTTCAGACACCAGGATTGTGGATCACGGAGAAGGTTTCTACCCGGGAATGTCCATCCCGTGTGCCGACAGCTTCTCCGGCTTCTGCGTTCACGGGAAATGTGAGATCAACAAGTACAACATGGCCACCTGCAGGTTTGTAACGGCCTCCGCTGTAAATGTTTCAAATAAATACATAAAAATGAAGCGTTTGTTTTTACTAGAGTCAAAGTTAATGGATGTCATCAGAAGTGTGGTGGTAAAAGTGTGAAATGTCAAAGTTTAAATCATGAAACAAACACAAAACTATTACACAATCCTAAAGTATGTAACATGTGACATCACACAGTCTTGTCGTGTGTCCGACTCAGATGTGACGCAGGATACAAAGGTCCTCAGTGTGACGAGCCTCAGGACTTCAACAT